CATATGATTTTATATATTGCTTTATTAGATTTTTTTACAAGTTAAATAAATTACCATATTTATACTTTGCATTTTTTAGTTTACTAAATTCGTTTTTAGATTTAATAATTGATTTATATATGCTAAATAAATTGCCATCTTATTTAATATTTATAATTTATATATTTTAATTTAATAAATTTGTTTTCATTTCATCATTTATGTTTACAAATAATTGTTAGGGATTTTTTTTTAGATTATTAGAAATGGAATCTAGGGATGAAAAAAGTTTAGATTTCATATGGTATTTAGTAATTGATTTATATTTGAATGTATTAATTGCTCTATTAAGAAATTTTACAAGTTAAATAAATTGCCATTTTATTTAATATTTATACTTTACATATTTTAATTTAATAAAATCAATTTTTATTTTATAGGCGGGTGGACCTTCATACGGACAATTATTTGCCGAGGATTCTACGATTCCCGGATCTATGGAAGCTCGTCGTGGATCGAGATCAAAGTCGGGTTCGCAATCGACTCCGAACTATCGTCCACTGGCTCCACCACGAGCTCCACCACCGCCACCTGCTTAGCCATAACCAGACGATGATGACCATCCCGAGGATTTAAACTTGCATTTTTGGATTTATATATAAAAAATTTATAAAACTGATTTTAGAATATTTTTATTTTTTTCAAAAAAATCAATACAATCGACGCTAAATCGATACAATATAGCGTCGATTTAGCGTCGAATCGTTGCATCGAAACGATTTGACGCTAAATCCACGCTACTTTGACGGTGATTTAGCATCGAATTTGTAGTAGTGTCGAATATAATACGACGCTAATTTAGCGTCGAATTCGCATCGAAATTTATTTAGCGTCGAAACGTGACCGACGTAAAATCGACGCTAAGCGGAGTTAGCATCGAATTAGCATCAAATTTTGCTGATACTAAAACTGTGTTTTCTTATAGTGGAAAGCCGAAAAGCAGCATGAGTTTCTCATGTTGAGGGCAAATAAATTTAGGGTTTGTTCGATAAGTTTCAATCTCCGTGGAATCCCATCTATAGAGCTAAAAGGTGAGATTAGCCTAAACAATAATATAAAGTATGTATTTCTTTATTGTTATGCACCATTAGTGAACACAACACTACAATCCTTGTAATTTGGAACCCGTGTAGTGGTCAAAGTTAAACAATGGTTCCAAACAAAAACAATGATTCTAACCAA